CATACTGATAGTCCCAGAACAGGTCAATAATAATGCTTATATTGATAGCAGCAATGCAGGAGATGTTACTTGGTGTTATAGCTAAAATCCATGTTATCCCCTTAATCATAATTACATTAATATTGACAAGCTGTTGACAATACTCGCATTACTATTGATAGATTTCTGTCAATAACATGTTTCCAAATAAAATATATTCATTCATAATTTGTACAATGCTCGATAACAGCACTAACATATACCAGAAGGAATTCCTCTTTCCAAAAAAATATACAATAATTACCTTCTTTTTTGTTTGCGCAGTGTACTGACAAGGGATTGTTCATTTTTGTTGTTTTAAAAAACCCCAGACAAACTATAGGTTATTAAAGAAAGAAACATTCTGTGAGTTTTTTTCTGGGAGGCGTTTTTTTATTTTTTTTCTATCCAATATCTGTGACAGTGTAACATCAAGGGAGAACCTTACAAGTAGTAGTCTTTAACCTAGAGTTTATTCTCTGTCTTCACCTGATTTTTGACTGTTCAGTTCTGATTATACAAGCTAAGCCTGATGGCATCCTTAACTGGGCATTGAGATCTGTCTCTTTCATTACTGGGTCTGCAATTCTCAGTTCTTAAGTTTTAAAAAATTTAAAAAAGACCAAATAAGAGAGTTAAAACAGTAAGGACATGACAAATAAAATTTAATGCAGAAAAACAGAGGGAAAAACAACATTCTCTTTGTTGTCTGTGTAGCTCAGCAGAATATGGGATGCAAAAATAACATAAAAAAGTACAAATTAAATGTCTTAACACTTCCAGGCTGTGCTTATTATCTAGTTTTAAACTGGAATATTTCTCATTTATTCCTACTGTAGAGCACTATTTGTGGAAACAGTACAAATTGAAAAATCTAACAAATGTCTGAAAGGACTTTTGTATAGAGGAAGTAATTTTAAAAGGGAAAACTTTATTATCTTCTATTTATTTTTTGTTTATTATCATTTGAAAAAACGGGCACTATAGATAAAGAATATAATAACAGTTCCCTACTATAGCAAATCAGAGAGATGAGAATTTAGGCCTCTTCTCTCAAAGAAACAGGTGCCGTTTTCCAGATCATTAGGACATTTGCAGGTATTTTTCATAGGAAAATACAATTTTCAAACTTTCACTTTTAATGTTTCTCTCTGGGAAGTAATTATCTACCCTGTAAGTGCAGTAGAACCTTAAATCAGTTCAGAAGTAAACACAGTGTATGTATAGCATAATGCTTCAGCCTGTATGTAACCGTAAGCACACTGAAATGTGCTTACACATTAAAATCAAAGCTATATGGATATAATCTTTAAGGAACTTGCAGGGTCCAGTTAACACCATGGCCTATGGCAAACTTTCAGTGATCTTAGCAACAAAGAACTTCAGAACAGTGCCCAGTTTTATTGCTTAAATTGAGAATGCTTACCTAATTGTTAATCAAAAAGAAAGCTTTGCTTACATAGAAATGTTATAAGCATAATTTAAAGGATTTTAAAGGAGTACATATTTATTAGTATATGTTTTTGTCTGATGTTCCTTTTCCATACAGTTTGTATAAAAGTGACTTCAAAGTTGAATCAATCTGCCAGTTGGTAATTCAGGAAGAAACATTAAATATGTCACAGTTAAACAGTATATGTGGTGTTGATTCTGTTGTTTTTAAAAAGGAGACTTTTTGGATTTTGCAGAATTTCAAAGGTTAACAAACAGTGATTTGACTTTGTGCAAAAGTGGTTCCTGTTGTCTCTATACAAAGTTCCAACCCACACTGACGGGTTCACTGGAGTTACTTCCTTCAAATAAACTTCTGCAAAGGATCGTGGACATGAAAGAAATATGTATTGTCACAAATCAATTAGATTCTACAACAAGGCAGGCACAAATTTCTGGAAAGGCCAAGCTCCAAGTTCTGGGGAAGATCTTGACAACATTTTAGTTCATCCTCTTGTGAAAATTCAATGCTAGAGTAAGTAGCTTAAGACATCGTTTGGTCAAGTTTTTAGAATCTCCAGGGACTGAGATTTCACAGTTCCCCTAGACAAACTGTTCCAATTTTCTTATGTCCAATTGGACTTTCTCATGTAGCAACTTACAACCAGTTGCCTTCTTTATTTCACTGCACCTCATGGAAAGGTTTGACTTAATCTTCTCTGTAACCTTTAGGTAGTGGAAGTTTACTATTAAATCACTTCTTAGCTGCCTTATCTTCAGGTTGAACAATCTGAGTTTCTTTAAGCTCTCCTCATATATCAGATGTTGGGGGCTCCCTGATGATATTAGTGGCTGTATTCTTTACATTTCTTTTGTACTATCTATAGAAAAGAGGCAAAATTGGACGTACTATGCCAGGTGTAGTCTTACCAATGCCAAGTAGAAGGGAATAAGCACATCCTTCAGTCTACTAGCTATGTACACGCTAATGCACTCCAGTAGGTGGCATTGCCACAAGGATGCACTGGTGACTTGTGTTCAGTTTGCTGCCCACCAGAATCCCCAAGTCCTTTTTTTCCAAAGCAGCTATGCAGTCAGTCAGCTCCCAGCTGATCTCTGGGTTTTCTTGCAGATTTCAGGATCCATCATAGTCCTGTGTATTTGACACATTTTCCGTGAACATCAGAAGGTTTCTGATGACCCATTCCTCACTTGCTGAGGTTTCTCTAGGTAATCTGGCTATACTGGGGAGAAAAAAAGTCTGCTCAGATTTAGCCTACTTAACTTATGAGAAATATACAACAGCAATTTCTCATAGCACCTGAGATAACGGAAGACAGCTGGAAAAGATGGTTGAACTGATGTTGGAAAATAGTCTTAGATGGATCAAGGAAGCCATTTGGTAAGATATAACTTTAGGATTTTGAAAGGGGATTTTGTACATTGGGAATTGTATAGAACACTGGTAGGAAGGTAACTGAAATGAATAGAATGGAGTGTAATGAGTGCGAGGGACTGAGGTGTTACTAGAAGAGAAGAAGACACTAGACTTTTAGGGATTATGAGTGAATAGCGCTAAACCAGGGTGACAGGTTCCAGAGCAGACAGTTATCAGTGGCTGCAGTTCCTCAAATGGTAGTGGGATGAGAAGAGAAAGGGTAGGAGGGCGGATAGTCGTTGGAACTGGAGTTTCTGCAGTGATACAGCAAGATCCAATAGAGATTGAATTGATCCTTTGATCACAAAGTGGAGGAGGTAAATTACTGGTATGCTACTGGATAATGCTTTCCAACCACACTTCCTGTGCCTCAGCGTTTACTGCAGAAAAGACGGAAGTGTGAGTGAGACAGGCTTGGATATACTGCCTTTGTATACCCCTGTATACTGGCTTGCTGGGCCAAGGCAGGTTGATGCAATGAAACCCATAGTTGTTTGCCCAGAGGAGACGGCGTTATACTACCTTCAGCCACGTTTTGCTTGGTAATGAGGAAAGAGGAATTTAAAGAAACAGAGTGGAGCTATTGCATGCTCTACCCATATAGCCAGTCTTAGTTAATTGTAAACTACTGTTGTACAGCATACATTAAGAACACAATCATCTTTCCTGTTAGCTTTGCATGATATTTTCCTTACAGGCATGATCAATTATAGGTATAGAAAATAGTAGAATTGGTACAAATAATGTGTTATACTGGATTTTAAAACTTTTGGTGCACTCTGTTTCTGCAAAGGGTTATTGGTTTAGAGGATATATATTTTTGTTTTGTTTTGTTTTGTTTTTTTTTAGTATTAGCATCATTAGCAACCGTTTCTATATAGGGTCCTGTATGGCATCTTTTATTCAAAGCAGTCTTGTGTTATAGTGGGTTTTCCTCTTATAAATAAGGATTTGAAGTACCTTCTTCTGTACTTTCTCCAGGGGCTGTTGACCCTTGCTTGTCTGTTATGCAAAGAATCTCGTTTAGAAAGTGAAATATGTTGCATACTGCCTGAAATATACCACTTGTCCAAAATCACTTTGGGTTTTTTATGTGGACAAAAGGAACAATAAATTAGTTACCCCACAATTTTGCATTACTGAGGCATTATCCATATTTTGCTCTTGCAATTTATTGCATTTGTTTTCTTAGTCACAGAATTGCATATACAACAGTATTTAAACCAAGCATTTTTTAAAAATATTTTTATTTTCTCTAATGCTTGAACAAGAAGGGTATACATTTGTTGAAGTTGCTGGTATACATTAATCATCTTGCCAGGAAATTTGTTATACGACAACCAACACAATTCTGCACCTGTCAAAAGACACTAGAAAATATATGCCGGCTTCAGTGATGTACTGTATGATAATTTATGTCTGAATGTTGAATATTCCTTTACTCTCCTATAATGATTCTTCTCTAAACTAAACAAATCATTGCCTTTATTCAGCAAGTTTTATCATTCCCACCTTAATTTACATCCATATCTTTCTGTATATAATCCTTAAATTTGTTAGTATTTCTAAGATTGTACTCTCAGCTGCAGCTACTGAAATACTCGTATGACAATATTTTCTGTCCACCCCACTGTTCTCTTCTAGATTTTAGTTAGTATGTTCATTTTCCCTATTACTCCATAGAACATGATATAGTTTTACAGTTCTTGTTTCTGATCTTCTATTTTAAGTTCCAATTGAATTACACAGTTATGTCCAGTGATTCTTTTTTATTTATTTATTAAGTCAAATAATAAATCTGTGGAGTTTACTAAATATCTGGGAGGTGTTAAACACTTCTCTGTAACAAAATACAAGTGTAACTGTTTGTGAGAAATAGTCTAATACAACTTCTTGTGAGATGACGTTTCATACTGTTAACATAAAGCTTTTTGAAAAGACTTGTAGCATATTAATAGCACATTAATATAGCATTCTGAAGAAGTTTTTTTGTTACTTGTTTATTGCTGGTATATTACAACTTTGTTATCTTTACTAAAAATAAAAATAGGAAATGCTTCATTATACTAAAATCTATTTGTGTTTCTTCCTAGAAATTTTTTTTTGTGAAGAAATGGCCTCCAGCACTGGAAATGAAAAGAGTGTGAATCCTGTGCTCAGAATAAGTCAACTTGATGCTCTTGAACTAAACAAAGCCCTGGAACAATTAGTGTGGTCCCAGTTTACCAGCTGTTTTCATGGATTTAAACCAGGGGTGTTGGCTCATTTTGAACCAGAAGTAAAAGCATTTTTATGCCTTATATTATGGAGATTCACTGTCTATTCCAAGAATGCGACTGTGGGACAGGCTATTCTGAATATTCAGTACAAGAATAACTTATCTCAGACAGAGAAATACCAACCTCTGAGCAAACACCAGAAGTTATGGTATCTTATTTTCACTGTTGGTGGAAGGTGGCTGGAAGAAAGATGTTATGATTTATTTAGCAATCGTCAAGTGCAATCTTTCTGCAAAATTAAGCATTTTATTAACTTTGGAGCTGGACTTCTTAAACTTTGTGAACTTCTAAATTTTCTGATTTTTCTTCAGAAAGGAACATTTGCAACGCTTACAGAACGCATTCTAGGAATTAGGTCAGTTTTTTGCAAGCCGCAAAGTGTTCGTGAGGTAGGATTTGAATACATGAACAGGGAGCTCTTATGGCATGGCTTTGCTGAATTTCTGATCTACCTGCTCCCACTTATTAATGTACAGAAACTAAAACTTAAAATTTCTTCTTGGTGTTTGCCTATTGCAGATCTTTCCAATAGTGAGAACACATTAGCAGCTCACTGCAAGGAATGTTCACTATGTGGGGAATGGCCTACAATGCCTCATACCATAGGCTGTTCACATGTTTTTTGTTACTACTGTATTAAAAGTAATTATTTACATGATATGTATTTTACATGTCCTAAATGTGGCTCAGAGGTACACAGGCTTCAGCCACTGAAATATAAAATTGAAATGACAGAATTGCGTGTCTGATAGGGGGTTCATTTGTTTTGATACGGTACATGAAATACTATGTTGCAGAGATTAATGCAAAAATTCAGAAGTTATTGTAAACACCTTAAAAGATGGTTTTGGAGACTGTAATTTGTTGTAACATATGTCTTTACTGGTATTTTTTTTACTGAGTAACAGTGCCAACTTGCTTCTGAAGAAAAGAAAAGAGAGGAGTTCCCCACCTCTTCTGCTCTCTCAGACTACTTGATCCTAGTTTGGTACCCCGTGTTGTCAAGTCTCTCTTGCCTGCAGAGCCTGTCAGCCTGCTCTTTCCTAACTGCATGCTACATGCTTCCCTCAAAGATAGCAAAGGTGGCCAGTAACCTTTTCTCACTTTGTGGATTTTCTCAACCTTCTTGTAACAGGTTCTGCCATTACCAACTTAACTAGTAGATGGATTTAGTGGAAAAGTCATCCTTGTCATGCCTGAAGAATAATTTTGAATTTGAGTATTTTAAACTTGATTTCCCAGTGTGATGTTCCACTGCAAAAAGGAAGAATGTGAGATGAATTGTCATCTCAGCAGATTATTAATAGCTTTCATCATATTCAGCCACCATAACAGGACATACTCTTCCTCTGACTCAGAATTTCTCTCTTATCAATAGACAATAAGCTTTACGCGATCCATCTGCTGGACAGACAGATACTCCATAGTTAACATGTGCCTACAGGAGATATAACCACTTCCTGTGCAAATACAGTGCACCTTCTAGACCTGCATGAGATGACCAAACTCTTTTTCTCACTCAATTATATGTCTGTGATCCTCAGTGACGTATATATGACCACCTCCCACTTCTTCCATATAAAGCTGAGGGATGCAGTCCATCCATCATCCACTGGAATGTGGCAGCTGCCAAAGGTAATCCCATTCTTCTGAGTCAGAGACACTGGAGGAAACTGTTTACTCAGAAGATGTTGTCTTTGGGACTTGCAACTCCTCTTCATTTGGTGTGGTCAAGGTGGGTGCCAAACCTCTCTAACAGCTCACTGCCACACAGAAAAAAGATCAAACACAGCTATGTGCATGTAGACTTATTAAAAAAAAATATTATTAAAAAAATAGGTAGTTCTTCTTGTTTTTTACTATTACTATTTGCTTTTTCTGTTGGCTTTGCAATGTTTTTATTATTCCCTGTTTTAACACTTCATCCATTTATTCTCTGACCTGGTTTTATACGATTTACTATAATTCTTTCAAAATTGCAGTCATTTTTTTAACAGAAAGTCTTACCCAGAGGTGTCTCATTAACACAAAAATAGATTGCATTCTTTTTTGGCTCTTAAATAAAATTCTCAAAAACTTACACAGTTAGATCGAGTAAATCACTTTATGATGGCTGTGTTCTTGATTGGCTATCATCAATAGTGAGTCCCAAAAATAGTATGGTAACTCATCCAATATCTTTGATCTACTTTTATTAAATGGTTTATTACGTTCTTCAGTGTCTGATTAAAACAACCCACCAGCCTGTTTGTTTGAAGATCTTAAATTCTAGGGTTTGATCTTTAGAGTGACACACAACGCTTTCATCTGATGCAATTAAATATAGTTAGCAGGTTCATAAGTATCTTTGGGCAGCCCAAAACTTCATTAATTCTGCTACTGTTCTGTGACTCAACACAGACTTCAGAGCAACTACTTCTAGATACTCTGCCACAGTATATTATTTGCCATCAAATGTGTGCATCGGCAGCCTGCCAAATTTGTTATTTGCAGTTGCCATTTGAACCAGCAGGTACAAATCTGTCTTTATGAGAAGTATCAAAACTGGCAACTGTATTGGAGTATATCCTGGAGTCACTCCTGGTCCCAGAGTGATTCTCTATGAATCGTCACTGCACATCATTTAATAGCTCTACCCAAAGAAATGTATTAGCACCCCTGACTTTGAGGTAAAGATCATCAGCATTCCCGCTACCTCTCTCTTTAACTGTCCTTATTAATTAAGAGTTTTATACATCCAAAATCCAGTGTTTGTCATAGCAGACCTTTGTCTCTTGTGGACTTTTCATTCTTTCTGAAGTCACAGCTAAGTATTGTGTCAAAAAGATAGGGATTTTATATATTGCACTCTGTTAGATGTCATGTTCTTATGTAGGAGTTAACTTCTTTCCTATTTAGAAATACTTCTTTGTCCTGAATATTTAAAGAACACTAGCTTCCCTTTTTATTCCATCTCTCTCTGTCCTGCTGTTTGATTTACCTAAGCTGTATGAATTTCCTCAGGTTTGGTTTGCCTATTGCAGCTTCACGCAGGTGAAATCCTAGTAAAATGCATACTCTGTTTTTTTCATCTCTGTTACAGTTTTGGTACAAAACATGTTTCTGGAAGTTTTGTACCTCTGTTGTATAGCTGTTTTCTGCTGGGTGTGCTATATTGCAGTTGGCTTCCCTGTTTTTCTTCTGAAGTTGAACTTTTGGTACTTAATTTATGATGGCTTATTATACCAAAGAATTAGCATACTACTGTAGTACCTCATCAGCAGTGCGTTAGGTTTGTGGCCTGTGGCATTGACCAAGTTTGTAAAGTCTGTGTCTTGTGGCATAAATAAACAGTTCACATTTACCTAAGATCCTAGATCCTAAGATGGGGCTTTAATTCTTTTATTTTCCATGCAAGTAAGCAGGTACCATGTATCTCACAGAAATAAAAGTTTTGGGAACAGAGTGGTTCCTTTTATCAGATACTGAATTTTATTTTTCTTCTTCTTCCACATGGGTGAAACCTTCGCTTGGCTGTAGTCAAAACTCATATTGGTGAGACCAAGACTTCAACTTGTGTATTGAAAAGCTACTTCCTACCATGTTAGCTTCTTAGGACTCCAAAGTCAATAGTCAGCAGCTTCCTTATGGCACTGTGAAATTAAAATTACACCTTTTTTTCGTCTTGTAATTCTGTTTTGTCCGGCCTTGTGATATATAAACTGCAGAAAAGTGTTAGGTGAAGATATTCCAGAGGGAAAAAAAAAAAGATAATTTTAGACTAATCAAAGGATAATGTAATTTTACGTACTAATTGCATTGATAATTTGTTGTCATAAGCATTATATTTTCAGGTTGAAACAGTACTGTAACAAAGGACTAAGATACATCCGGTGAGGCTTCCTGCAGCAGAGGGAATAAAACTTATTTTGGAATGTTAATCTCTTCAGCCATTTTCTCTAAAGAAAAGGGTTTTAGTGTTCGGCTACCATGAGAATGTACTTCTGAGCAGTCATATGTGCAGCAGTGAAAAGGATAAATGCCTAGAATTCAGGAAAGCTATGGGACCAGAACTCTTATTCAGTCTTGGGTAGGAGTTACAGCCCTGTATTAACAGTTTTATTTGTGCCCTGTTGTGTGTCTTTGTCTGCTACATGAACATTTTCATTGTATCAGAAATCAAAAAAAGAAGTCAGAACTGAAACAGATTAATTGTGAATTTTTTTAATATGTTTATTAATATACCTTCATTTGAATGAGAATTACCAGTTGTCCCAAGGTGTGATTTTTGGAGGCATGTAGATGAAAGGAGTCAGAGAATACTGACTGATCCCTTGCTTCCACAAACCACCACCACTCCATCTACTCTATGCTTTAAGAGAGGTCTCATTTAAGTAGTGTTATAGAAGACTTAAAGGCAGGAGTTTCAATATTCTGTAAAAGAAATGACAGGGATAGTATCTGATTCTGCATTACCTGGAAATCTTTCTTTGTTTTTCTGTAAGTGTGAGCTGTTATGGGCAAGGATGATCTGGACAACATGTTCAAGAGAAGATGTTAAAAAAGGTGAAAGAAATAGGTTTCCTAAATACAATTCAAACTGATGAATGTCCTTATTTGAGAATATTACTGCAATTGTTATCTGGGATGTATTGTTCTTATGAGAACCAAGTTGACAAATAAAAGATGCTTCTTAAACAGGAGATTCTGAAGTTTGAGATTTTATTTTATTTTTTTTTCGGCAGGCTAGTTTTCATGCCTATTCCATGGCTTGGCTGTCAGATGTTTTCATACTTTAGTACTCATGAGACTAAAAGGCAAAGCGGGAAACTAGTTTGTAGCTACAGTTCACTTAAAAATTTTCTTCAATTTTAGGTTTCAAAGCAAATTATCTTTTTAATAATTCTCCTTGTGAGCAGACTAGTCATAGCAATAAATTGTAAACTGTTACACTTTGCTCTGCGTTTGGAAGCTGTCTTGGCTTGTACTAAGAGAAAGAATATTGTGGCATGTTTGGACACACAGGATAGGGTTATGTGCTTACTGCCATGGTAGGTATTAAAGGTGATGGTCATTCACTTCTAACAACAATATCATAACCTGGGCTATTGCAAGTCAGGGTGCATACAACCAAAACGCCAGGGAGCAGTTTAAAATGGTGCTTTTTAATGTCAACACCTTGTGCATTCCCAAGAAAAACTCTAGTAAGATTGGTCAAGTAGATTCTCTTGGGACGCCAAAGGCAGGCAGTTGCAGTTTTCCACGTTGTCACCATCAAAACATGCACCTAAATTGTTATTGCAATCTTAATAGTTTCTGCCGTTCCAGGGGAGCCCACTTCCAAGGCAGGATCGGATGCAAGCCTGGCAAGGGGATCAAATAGATGGCATTCGAGCAAAAGGCATTTGTGGGGAGATCCCTCTCAGGCTGGAACACTGGGACCAGTTCACTACACGAATGTGACCGGAGATAGTTGTAGGGCATCTGCTAAGGCCAAGACGTGATCTTTTCCATTCTCTGGAGCACACCTGCAGTTTTGTACCTCTGCTTAAACTGTCTCTTCCCTGCATGCAGAATGCAGACCCGTGTCAGGTAGGGGGTGTGGGCAGATTTGTTGTGCAACAGTAAATGCAGGTAGGTCTAGATCTTCCAGGCAGCTTTTAAGTAGTACAAAATCACTAGTTGCCTACGTCTGGTCCTGAGTCTGCTTAGAGAGCGGACTGGTGCAAAGTAGGGTGAAGTTGGCCAATATGATACCAGTCATCTCAAAGGAATCGGTCTACTTTCAGGGAGATATTTCAAGGATATTTCAGGGAACAAAAGGTTGTCAGTCTGGTAACCACTCTGCATTATGCTGTATTGGAAGAGCTGTACCTGACAACTAATAATAGCGTGGTGGAGTAGCCCAGGAGAAGGAGA